GGAGGCAGGGATGCTTCGACAGATCGTCTTGTCCAGCTGGGTGACTTTCCTTGGGCCAGTCACTCTCTCTCAGCCCTAGGAAGGAGACAATGGCAAACCGCTCCTGAAAAATCTTGCCAAGAAAACTGCAGGGGCCAGCCCAGAACTGGACATGATTGAATGGAAGAAAAAAAAAACAAAGAAGTTGGGTTATCAAGAGCTTAAGTAGAAGATGACTTGACTTTGCCATAATAGAACAGCTTGGTTTAGTGGTTAAGGCACCAGACTAGTGGCTGCGAGTTCTAGTCCTGTCTTAGGCAGGTTGGCTGGGTGACTTCGGGCCAATCACCAGGAGACTGGGAATTCTAGTTCTGTCATAAATGTGAAAAACTGGGTGACTGTGGGCCAGTCACCAGGAGACTGGGAATTCTAGTCCTGCCTTAGGCATGAAAGCCGATTGAGTGACAGTGGATCAATCAGCAGGAGACACTGAGTTCTAGTCCCACCTTAGGCATGAAAATTGGCTGGGTGACCTTGGGCTAGTCCCTCTCCCTCAGTCCAAAGCACCTCACAGGATTGTCGTTGTTGTTAAAGTAAGAGGAGGAAGGTGTGTTGGATATGTTTGCCACCTTAAATTATTTGTAAAAATAATAAAGACGGGATACAAACAAACAAGAAAATGATCTTAAACCTGTCCTAATTGCTGGCATGAATTGATTTTACACAAATGCAAGCATGAGCCAGATACGGATCCTAAACTTATTACTGCTGCCAGCTACGTCTCCTGCTGGTATTATTTTAAAAAGTCACATTTTATAATCATTTTTAAGACTATAAACAGGGAGATTTTTCCTTCCCCTCTTGTACACGTGCAACTCAGAAACCCAAAACAACCTAATTTACTGGCAGAGGCAAAAAGATTTAATATAACCCCCGAGTTCCTGGATGCAGATTGTTAAACGCCAACAGCTTGGCAGCATATGGCAAATCAATTACTACTTTCGATTTTCGAAAAGTCATATTCACACATGCGCATTTAATAAATAAATAAACAAACGAGTAAACAAACAAATAAATAAATAACAGCTCCTGAACAAAAGTGGAGAAGAGGGAAGGGAGAAAGAAGTGGTGAGCAAGAGGGAAGAACAACTGGGGAACAATAACACAGCTGAGATGAACGGAGGCCGCTAGAATCTGGAATATAATTAATCATCATTTCAAGCAGCAAGGAGCCATATTGACACGGGCCTCGCATTTGAATATGTAATTAGGGTGACGTTCTTCGTCAAATTATATATATATATATATAAAAGAGAGCTGGGGAAGGAAGGAGGGGCTGGGAGGGGAGAAACTAGATAAGTCTTCCAATTCAAGCCGTCACTAAAAACGATGACTAATTTCGAGACGGTTCAGGTTAGCTAGGCCACCCTGGAGAAAGTTTATCTCGGAAATTATTCAGCACTTAAGTGAAGGGAATAAAAATGGCAGATGAAGACAAGTAAAGCCCAAAATTGCATCATTTCAGAGGTCAAAATCTTGAGTCCTGCTCAACTCGATGTGTAGCGAGGTCCAAGCTGGGGAAAAGCAACCTAAATCTTGCATTGACGAGTCAACGTAACACAGCCAAATCCTGATTTAACAGACTACTGAGAAAGAAATGTCTGTTAAATCTGTAAACATATCATTTGGCTGATTCAACTGGCAAGCAAAATTCTTTTGATTTTTTTCCCCCCAGCTTTTCATTATATTTGGTCCTTTAAAATCTGAACTCTCTGCTCTCAACTGCTAGTTTTCTATTATTATTATTAGTAACAGTGGTAACAGTAGTTGTATACTATTAGTAACACTGTTTAAAAAGTTTCCATCACTTAGGGGAACGCTCTCTGCCATCACCCTGTCTTTAGACATATGAAAGCATTTTAGTTCAGTGATTTATTACTAGGATTCTACTTTTCTCCTGTCTTTTATTTCCATTTGTAGATGATAGATAGATAGATAGATAGATAGATAGATAGATAGATAGATAGATAGATAGATAGATAGATAGATAGATGGATGGATGGATGGATGGATGGATGGATGGATGGATGGATGGATGGATGGATGGATGGATGGATGGATATGGATAGATGGATACAGGTGGATAGAAGAATGGAGAAATTTATTAATATAATTCTATTTTTATTCTGCCTTTTATTTATATTTGTATTTGGATGGATGGATGGATGGATGGATGGATGGATGGATGGACGGACGGACGGACGGACAGACAGATAGAGAAATAGATAGAAGAATGGAGACATTTATTACTATAATTCTATTTTTATTCTGCCTTCTATTTATATTTGTATTTGGATAGATAGATAGATAGATAGATAGATAGATAGATAGATAAATAGATAGATAGATAGATAGATAGATAGATAGATAGATAGATAGATGGATACAAGATAGAAGAATGGAGAAATTTATTACTATAATTCTATTTTTATTCTGCCTTTTATTTATATTTGTATTTGGATAGATAGATAGATAGATAGATAGATAGATAGATAGATAGATAGATAGATAGATAGATAGATAGATAGATAGATATAGATAGATTATAGATAGACAGACAGACAGATAGAATGAAGAGTGATATAGATATATAAATATATATATATAGCTAGACATAGCCAGTCAATTCCAGAAAATAATAGTACAGCAGTATATGACCAACCTAATTTTATCCCTTTTTTGTGGCGGTCGTTGAGTAAATTAATTGCTCACTACAGGTCGGTTCTGCCAAAAACATGCTGATTTTCCACAAAAAAAATTCACCACTGAGGTAAAATGGTCATGTGACTGTGGGATACGGTCAGCACCTGTAAATGTGGGCTGGTTAACGAGCGCCTGACATGCAGTCATGTGACCGTGGGGGGGGGAGGGAAGGGTGGCAGCTATTGGCCATAATTACCTCAGGGAGGTCCGTCAGAAGTCTGAACAGTTGCTAAGCAACCGGTCATAAGCTGAGAACTATCTGTATTTTTAACCCCTCCCTGGACGTATCATCGACCAAATCCGGCCTTCATCTTAAGAGCTTTCCGAATTTCTTTTTATATATACATACATAAATACTTTATTAATAGAGCTTTCTGAATTTCTTGCTGCATGTGAGCCAATGAAAGAGGATTGGGGGGGGGGGGCGTTTAAACAAATAAACAAACAAACAAACAAAAAAAGCAGCTATTTAAAAAAATAAAAATAAAAAATAAAAAAAAGGAAAAAGGCAATGCCTTTTAATGAGGAACAATAAAAAGCCAGTCTCTCTGGAGCCGTAATTAGAGGAAATTAATTGAAGTTGTGTTTTGACACCGTCGCCGAATGCGCCGGCGATGTGTGACACGTTCGCGACTCTGCCCACTGCACCACGCTGCTGCCTGACGGGGGGAGGGGGAGGGTGTGTGTGGGGGGCAAAGGCATGGCAGAGGACTCCCCCCCCCACTCCCTGCCACTTGCAATGTGTGGCGGTTATGCAGCCGGGCTATTCCCTCCTGTCCTACTCCTGCGAGTAGGCAAACTTAGCCCTGAAAAGAGATTAACAATTAATTACTAGGACTTGGAGAGAATCTCTAATGCTGGAAGACTGGGGGGGGGAGGGGGGAGGCAGGGAGAGGGAGCTCATTAATATGAGCAAATGCCAATTAATTCTCCCCACCAGCAGCTGAGAAAGAAGTAACGCATCCCCTTTCCCCCGTCAGCATTCAAATGACAGCACAGGAAGGCGGTTTAATCTAAGAGGAAGAAGAGAAACGACGTCTCTCTCTCTCTGTGTCTATATGGGTGGGTTGGTGGGTGTGCGTGTGTACTTGTGTGTGTTCCCCTCTCCCTTCCATAAATTGGGGGTGGGGGGGAGAGAAACAAGCCTTGGAGACCAGGGCAAAGGGATGACAAAAGGAAGGCTCCCCCGCAGCTTCTTCTCGCTTCCAGACAAAATGGAAGCTGCCCGATCTTTGGGTTCTGCTGCTCGTCTGCAATTCGGACCGACTTCTCTTCTCCTACCAATAAATCGTTCACCGTCATCTCTCCTGCTTAAGAGTTGAAGAAAGAAGGTGGTGGAGTGGAGGAAGTGAGGGTGGATGGGTGAGGAGGAGGAGGAGGAAGAGAAAGAGAGAGGAAGATAGAATGGTGGAGAAAAGGGGAGGAGGAGAAGGAGGAGAAAAAAAGAAAAAGAAGGAAGGAAGGAAGGAAGGGAGGGAGGGGAGGAGGAGGAAGAGAAAGAGGAAGATAGAATGGTGGAGAAAAGGGGAGGNGAGGAGGAGGAGGAGGAGGAGGAGGAGGAGGAGGAGAAAAAGAAGGAAGGGAGGGAACGAGGGAGGGAGGGGAGGAGGAAGAGGAAGAGAGAGAAAGATAGAATGGTGGAGAAAAGAGAAGGAGAGGAGGAGGAGAAGGAGAAGAAAAAGAAAAAGAAGGAAGGAAGGAAGGAAGGAAGGAAGGAAGGAAAGGGGGGAGGAGGAGAAATAAGAAGAGATAAGGAGAAAAACAAATAAGAGGAGGAGACAAAGAAGAAGGAAGAGTAGATAAGGAGAAGATAAAGAGAGGAGGAGAAAAAAAGAGAAAGAGGAGATCTGTCACAGTAACAGGACCCCAAAATTTCCCTCCATGCTAGGTAGGACAAGGTGTCACCTCTTTTCCGGTTCCTAGCCTGCTTGCCATTGATTGGTGCTGCCCATTCAAAAAAAAAAATTAAGTATAATGTCATAGCTGTTACTAGAGCTGAGAAAGGAACACAAATACAGACACAGATGGGTGATAAATAGGTTAGACATAGGGGAGTGTAAGATGTTGTGAGGGGATTTTGAAACTGGGTGTTTTTGAACTTAGGAATTTAGTCAGGAGACTTCAAAGTGGCCATAGATAGCAGCCAAGCGGGGAATTATGCTTCAAAAACTCTCCTTTTCAGTCCTTGCTTGAAAAGACTGTTGACTTAGGTTCATTCGGAAACCATCGTTGGCAAGGAAGAATGAAAAGCCCACCTCTCACCTGGGAAGGTTGGCAGCTGGTGTGGTGGCTGGTGCTTGTGGAGAAGGTGTGGTAGGCTGAGATGATTCATGATTTCGAGGGACCTTCCCCATCCGATACCAGATCCCCATGTTGTTCAATTCCCTTTCCATCAAAGAGAGAAAACAGTAAGATTCCTTCAACATAGAACGTAAAATAAAGTAATAGGTTCAAAGGGACCTTAGAGGTCTTCTACTCCAACTCCCTGCTCAAGCAGAAGACCCAAACCATTCCAGACAAATGGTTGTCCAATCTCTTCCTTAGAACCTCCAGTGTTGGAGCATTCACAACTTCTGGAGGTAAGCCGTTCCACTGATTAATCGTTCTCACTGTCAGGAAATTCTTCCTTAGTTCTAGGTTGCTTCTCTCCTTGGTTAGTTTCCATCCTTTGCTTCTTATCCTGCCTTCTGGTGCTTTGGAGAATAGGTGGACACCCCCCCCTCTTCTTTGTGGCAGCCCCTCAAATACTAGAACCCCGCTATCATGTCACCCCTAGTCCTTCTGTTTGTTACACTAGACATACCTAGTTCCCTCAATCATTCATCATATGGTTTATTGAGTTGGAAGAAGACACAACAAAAGACCCTTAGAACTGGTTTAGAAATGAGACAAGAGGTCCCACTGGAGAGGAAATCGGTCATCTGAAAAAAAAAGTCAAGTGAAAAGTCCTGAAAAACAAAAACACCTCCATACCCGATATACGTATATTGTTGAGGAGTTTGTTTGCCTCGGCCCAGTATGCGGACATCACAAATGGCGGCCTCTGTAGAATCCCGGGGGATAAATTTAATGCACAATCTCTTTTTCCGGAAAGCAGTTTCTTCTGAAAAAGACAGTGTGAGTTTAAAAGCTTACTCTTCTCTTTACAAGTAGTTGAAGGCTTAGAGGAGAGGAGAAACAGAGAGACACAAAGAACGAGAACAGTAATTGATTTGAACTTTTCCAGTTTCTCCTTCCCACTCCCCTGGGATCTTTCCATCTCCAACCCTTCTGGTCAAGTTGTAGAGAACGTCTATCCCTGGATCATGCAGAGACACGAATATCTGGACTTTTAAAACATGGTTGAACTTCTGCCGAAGGGAAATGCAAATTGTGGACTTAGTATATGGTGTCAATCCTAAAGAAAAAATGCTATCTTAGGGAGGAGGGCAAGATTACAACTCTTAGACATCAAGCTACATTGGATGAAGCTCACATTGGTTCCAGCTGTGGTGGTTCCTTATTATGTGTGAGGGGAAATTCATCCAGAACTTCTCAGAAGGTACCAATCCTGATGGCAGAATGTTGACCAAGATGTTTCTATACTTCAGGATTTTTTAGCTCCCCCCCCCCAGAACCTCGATCTTCTCTCGTCTAGTCTGGATTTTGATGTGTTGATCTTCAACTGAAACCCAACAATAGGGATACAGGTAGAATTCAACTCAATCCATAGCTGGTGCTTCACAGAATCCTCTCCCTGGTTGAATCTAGAGAGGATCTGATCACAGTAAAGGCTACTAACTCTACTTACGTGTATCCATAGTTTCTTGAATTGGGATGAAGCCGACGGGCAAAGTATCTTTTATGTCTATGAGTTTCATGTCAACCAAGACATTTCCTAAGTGACTCTGTTGGAAGAAAGGCAGAAGACTCAATGGCCGCCAAATAGTGGAGAATTCGGCTAAAGCTAAACCACCCCAATAAACAGAAATGACATTCCCACAAGACCATTAATCTGATGACTCCATTCATCCGGTCAAGAAGATTATTGTACAAACACAATCCATTTATCCAGACTTTCTCACAAACTATCCCTGCTCATCTGAGCTTCAGTTCAAGTTGGGGTGCTGGATCAAGAGGCGTGGCTTTGGAAGATTAAATCTTGGATAAGACAGTTATTCGAGTATTGGCAAAGAGACTGGAATGATCAGAAACATACATTCATTCATTCATTCATTCATTCATTCAATCAATCAAATCTATATTATGGTTACAGACCAGCATAAATCAGACTGTGACATTTGCTTAAAATACCTGTATTTGGGAGATCACTACCAAATTCCACAATGACCTAAGTCCATGTTGAACACTAGCAATGGCCATTAAATTTAGCAAAACTAAGCAGATTGATTAGGCAACTGATGAAAAAAAAGGGAAGCTCCCATAGTAGAGCATGTCTGTCTGTTTGTCTGTCTGTCTTAGGGTTGAACTGTGGGGTGTTCTCTGAGCTGCCTGTCACTACTAGGCTAGACAGCACCACTGGAACAAAGTTCACCCTCACATGCACTCAGCCTGGTCTTGAAATGTCTAGAAGATAGCTCAAGAGAACATCAAGAGAACATTTTTTTTAGCTGTCATCCAATGGTCCTGTGGACATCTGCAGTTCCGTTCTTGTAGCCCTTCAAAAGCTTTTTCTGCTTCAGAACTATGGAGATGTGGGTCTACAGATTCTTCTAAGGTGGGACTGGCTCCCTTGAAGTTCTAAAAGAAGGGAGGGGACCAGAATTGGTTGCAGAGACCAGGTTAGTCCTGCAGCCAGTGGGAAATAGGTTTGGTCCATCCCCGGTGATCTTCAGACCCCCTCAGAAGGAACATTTGGAACCCACATCTTTCCAGAGGCTCCTCTTTCCAAAATTACGAAGCATGGAAACAACTCCAGTTTTACGAAAACACAACCTTAGAGAAAAAAAAATACACAGGCAGGGAAGATCCTTATCTGAGCAAAAAAGGCATACATCCAGTTTGCTAATCAGCTTCATTTTTGAAGCTTGGCCTAAAAAGTCCAGAAAGCAAAGCAAAATGGGGGAAAAAATGGAGGGAAAAAGAGGCGATCCTCCATGCCAAGTTGGAACAAGGAACCCTGCTTTGAATCCAAGCAAACGTCGTCCCTTATTAATTAAGGGCTGGAGAAGAAACCGTGTTCTACAGCAATGCTCACATTTCATAACATTTCCCTCAGAAACCGTATCTGGTATCTTCCTTGTTTTGACAGTCATACAAGTAGAGGCCCATCATCCTGTGTCAGCATGACCCTTCTGGAAACATGTTTCGCTTGGGGGCGACTGGAAGGAGAGAAATGGATTTTGCATTCCCCCCCCAAGAATCTTGGCACACGGGACCAAAGAGAATTTGAATAATGGGGCACAAATCTGACTAGGAACCAAAAATGTTATGTGTGTCTGCCTTTGAGTCAGCCTCAACTTCTGGCAACTCACAGACAAGACCATACAACTTTCTTGGCAACATCTTTGGGGAGGGCTCCCTAGGACTCAGGGAGGACTAGCTCTGCCTCCCCCAGGGAAATTCCCATGGCTGAGACGAGACTAGAACTTGGGTTTCTGGGCTGCTAGTCCAGCAACTTTCAGCATTGTCCCATGAAGCGTTCATCATTATATGACTCTGGCTCTTGGGCTGAGAGACAGGGACCAGCCCAAAATCAGGCAGCTGGCTTTGGTGCCTACAGTCAGAGCAGAACTCATGGTCTCCTGGCTTCTGATCCAAGCTCAGAGTCTTCTGCCTCCTGGCCTCCTGCTTCTCATGAGTCTTCTGGCTTCTCATGGTCTCCTGGCTTCTAATCCAAGCTCAGGGTCTTCTGGCTTATGGCCTCCTGCTTCTTATGGTGTCCTGGCTCATGGTCTCCTGGTTTCTCCTGGTCTCTTGGCTTCTAATTAACTCACGGTCTTCTGCCTCCTGCTTCTCATGAGTCTTCTGGCTTCTCATGGTCACCTGGCTAATGATCTCCTAATCCAAGCTCAGTGTTTCCTGATTTCTAATTCAAATTCATGACCTCCTGAATTCTAAATCCAGGCCTTAACCACTAATCCAAACTGGCTCTTTAGGAACCAGTTATACTAATAGTTAATGCACAAAACTCCCTCTCCTTCAACCTTCCCATTACCCTAACCCCAAAAAGCAGTTGGACTTAGAGCTTCATCACCGAGGAAGAACTCAAAACGTGTTCTCTTTGATCCTACTTCAACCCCTTCATAGTTACACCACACTGGTTAGCGGATCAATTTGCCTAGTTACCTACGGCGAGTCAAATGACACATCCAGGATATCAGGCAAGGGAACTTGGCAAAAACACGCATGAATGTTTTTTTTCTTTCTTTCTTTCTCTCTTCCTTATTTTCTTTAGAATATCAGACCACAGACCTAAGTTTCGGACGGTAAGAAAATGTTTGGGCCAAAATAAGCAAGTCACTTACATTCTCTTTGGAGAAAGTCCGTGTGAAGCACAAATATCGTGTGACCTTGGATTTGAACAAGCCATCCTTCCAAAGATCAGCATCTAAGCCATCCGCGGTTTGTGCAACCTGAGGGAAAAAAGAGAAAGGGAGGGGTCAGGTCATCCGTCCGTCCGTCCGTCCATCCATCCATCTCACCTACCTACCTACCTACCCACCCACCCACCTACCTCTGTCTGTCTGTCTGTCTGTCTGTCTGTCTGTCTGTCTGTCTGTCTGTCTGTCTGTCTATCTATCTATCTATCTATCTATCCAAATACAAATATAAATAAAAGACAGAATAAAAATAGAAATATAGTAATAAATTTCTCCATTCTTCTATCTTCTATCTATCTATCTATCTATCTATCTATCTATCTATCTATCTATCTATCTATCTATCTATCTATCTATCTATCTATCTATCTATCTATCATAAAATCTGTTCTTGCTGGTAAATTTTACTTTCCTTTATAATGTTTTCTACCTGGAAAGATAAGCGAAAAACCCTGAAAAAGATGAAATTCTGTGTTATCAAACGTGCTGTTTTCGGGCAGACTTAAGAACTTTGGTATGCAATTGTTTTTCAATGTTGTTTATAAACGGCAAGCCAATAAACCCAGCATTCCTTTTTTTTTTTTAAAGGGGGGGGGGAGTTAAAAAAAAAAAGAAACTTCAAAGAGGTGATTTCATCTCAGGATAATTTCCTCCCGTCAGCCTTGAGCATTCTGACGACAAAACATTTGCCACAAAATGTGCGCAGCAGCGGTGGAATGTCGACAATGCCATTTCAGTTCAAATCTCCAAAAAGAAAAAAAAAAAGGGAAAGAAAGCTTTTTGGGATGTGCCAGAGAAAAAAAGAGAGAGCTTGCCAGACCCAAATCCTGGGAAATTGAAACATGAAGGAATCTACTAGGGGGGGGGGGGAGAAAACACCAAAAAACAAAACAGTGAAAAATAGCTGAAACTTGGAACAGAAGAAGAACCGAGGCTGGCCTTCCAAAGTCAAATAAATCCTTCATGTACCTTTTTTTTTTTTTTTTTTGCTTTTTTTTCCATTACAGAATGCAGCGTTTGTAAGTTCAGAAGAAAAGATCCTTTTATCAGGCTTTAAGAGAAGAGCTTTGAAAATGAACGCATCCCTTCCCTAACAGATTAAGAAAGGGGATCACGTGACCCCGGGACACTGCGACCGTCATAAATAGGAGTCAGTTTCTAAGCGTCTGAATTTTGATCACGTGACCTGCAACCGTCGTAAGTGTGAAAAATGGCCCTAAGTCCCTTTTTTCAGTGCCGTTGCAACTCTGAACGGTCACTAAATGAACTGTTTTAAGTCGAGGACCGGCTGTCGTGTTTCCCAGGCTCTGCAACCTTCAGAAATGTGAAATTTTCAACTCCCAGAATTCTCCAGCATGCTGGTTGCAGGACTCCCAGAATTCTGCAGCTGGCTGACTAGGGAATTCTGGGAGTTGAAGTCCACACAGAGGTTGAGAAACAGCTGAAGGCGGCTTAAGTGGGGGGGGGTCTCCCTTCCTATCAGCCACACCACAACTACTATATCTTGTCAACTTTCTCTCTCTCACACCAACAACTTAACCACTACACTGTCCTAGCAGCCGGCTCTTGCAAGGTTCAGCCAGCTGAGTTCCAGATTCCAGAGAGAAGCAACCTAAGGAGAAATTTCCTGACAGGGAGAACAAATTAATCAGTGGAACGGCTTGCCACCAGAAGTTGTGAACGTGGAGGTTTTTCAGAAGAGATCGGACAACCGTCTGCCTGAAATGGCATAGGGTCTCCTGCATGAGCAGGGGGTTGGACTAGAAGACCTCCAAGGTCCCTCCCCTCTCTGTTATTCTGTTATTCAACTCCCAGCATGCATTTCCTTGCACACAAGCCAACCCCCTGCTCTGCTGCGCACAACCGCAAACAGCCACTCAACACTTCAACCAAAGCACACTGGAGGTTTTCAGCTTTCTAGCAAACCACCACAATGACGCACCATCGCTAAGGGTTTATTTTTATTTTATTTTTTAAAGGAACTTCTCTTTCTCTGTTGTGTCTGGGGAGATTTATTGGGGGGTTTTAGGATTGGCTGTTCAAATAGCAAAAACGCCGCACCTGAAGAAAATCCGGAGAGCTTTTTTAAAAGCAGCAAAGGGGCTGAAAGTTTACTGGGAGAGAGACGGCACGGCCAAGGATAAACCCGAAAAACCGGATGGGTTTGTATGAATTCTGTTCCCTTTTTCATTAGTTCCCATTGAAATAGGTGGCCTATCTCTGTCTATCCATTTTATCCACCCGTTTTATCTATGTACCATCTATCCATCCATCTATCCACTCATCTATCCAAACTATCTATCCATTCCATACTGATTTATCAATCATCTATCCATTCTATACCTATTTATCAATTATCTATCTATCTATCTATCTATCTATCTATCTATCTATCTATCTATCTATCTATCTATCTATCTATCTATCTATCTATCTATCTATCTATCCATTTTATCCATCCATTGGATCTAGTTATCTCTCTCTCTCCAATCTATCCTAGCTAGCTAGCTATCCTATCCTTCTATCTATCCTATGTATTTATGTATCCATCCATCCATCCATCTATTTCTCTCTATACTCCCAGCTTGGTTTTTTGGGAGACTAAGATGGCCATTTCTAGCTCATTCTGTTTTCATCAGTTAGCCATACCCTTTATGGGATTCGAACCTGGGCAGACCCATACACCTGACAGATGGATCGAGAATCTTTCTTTCCGTCTCGCAAAACGTTTCAAAAGCCGGCTCCTGATTCTCACTTTGTGGAAAAACAAAGCAAAGCAAACAAAAAACACCCCAGCCATCCTTCTTGGAATTTGAAGTAGTGAACTTCAGGGCTGCCTTATCAGCTATCAGGTATGAGGAAATACAGTAGCTACTCACAGAAGGCTCCTGTTTGAGATTCCAGACAGATGATCTGCAAAATTCTTCTCCCCCCATATTAAAAATTCCAATCACCTCTCCTTTATTTTGTTTTCCCTAAAAAAAAAATATTATTTTTTCCCTGCAAGTTCTCCAAACAATATCATAGCTAGAAGGTGCTGGTTTGGCTGAAGCTAAAACCGGATCCGTCATCAGCTTAAATAGGGTCACAGCCAGAAGCTCTCAAAAACCTGCATTTTTGTAAGCTATGCAGCCAGGGCTCGGGGCAAAAAAACCCCCCAGCGTTAGTGGTTGATTACAAGAACAAAGCAAGCACTTAAGCCAGATTTATAGAGTCTGAAGAAACAGCCTGTGGTAAAAAGCAGGGATAGTATTGAAAATAAAATACGGCATCACCTTAGTAAATTTCCTTACACATAAATTCGATTTTTTTTTTTAAAGTCGCTAGTCCTCTTGAGGGTGTGAAAACTATCCTGCGACATCTGCCTCGGCACACTGTTGCAAAAATAATGAATCAACCGAACGACTTCCTTTTTACTGAACTCAGAAATGTGTACGCACAGTTTTTAATTTCTATTCCCTCCCCCCTTTTTTTATTAGAGTGCTTTAATTTTAAAATTGCTTTAGGAAAGAAAGAAAGAAAGAAAGAAAGAAAGAAAGAAAGAAAGAAAGAAAGAAAGAAAGAAAGAAAGAAAGAAAGAAAGAAAGAAAGAAAGAAAGAAAGAAAGAAAGAAAGAAAGAAAGAAAGAAAGAAAGAAAGAACTGAGCAGCAAGTGGTGTGGAATTATCCAAACAATCACCAAGTAGAAGGCAGAGAAACCTGGATTCAGATATGACCCCTCACCAAACCAGGATAGATTCCTGCATGGCTGTTGGAGAACAGCTAGCCTGCATTCTCACACAGTGTTAAGTCAGATATAGTTTACATCAGTGATGGCGAACCTTTTAGAGACCGCGTGCCCAAACTGCAACCCAAAACCCACTTATGCATCGTCGGGTGCCGGGTGGGTGTGGCCCATTGGCTGGGTGTGACCCATTGGGTGGGCGGGGCCCATTGGGTGGGCGTGGCTGCAGTGGTAACGGCAGACTGGGTGGGACTAAAAAGTTCAATCAATCAATTCCAACTTTGCAAGATCTTTTTTTTTCCCGCGAGAAGTTGAAATTGACTGATTGATTGAACCTTTTTTTTTTTTTGCACATGGCGGCAGAGGCCTAAAGCGAAAAGGTTTTATAAAACCCAGCTGAAGGCCTAGGACTGGGGCGATGGCGCATGTGCCCACAGAGAGGGCTCTGAGTGCCGCCTCTGGCACCCGTGCCATAGGTTCGCCACCACTGGTTTACATCTTCACTTGCCTGGGATACTCACTACTTACTTTAGCACAGGTGAAACAGTCTAACTTATTTTATTTTATTTATTGATAAAAGAGAATATTTGAAATGAAAAGCAACATTGAGAGGGCAAGCCACTGGAATATAACGTGAAAGCAAATCCCGCTTTTACTAGCTCTGATGAGGTTACCTAGTTTGGTAATGAAACGTCTGCAAGAACGAGAGGCATCAAGGACACCTTCCTCTTATTTATATATTGTGTGTATATGTTATACAGGTTTATAGGTTATGTTTATATGCCATCTCACCAACAAAGCAATTCTGGGTGGCTCAGGAAAAGATCATGGTTTATTTACTTGGGAATGATATGTGCCATGAACCCAGCTTTGCTAACCAGGCTTAAAGTTAGCTCCCAGCTCCAGAGAGTTCAGTGCTTTTTTTTTTTTAAAAAAAAAGAATACCCTGCAACGCACACTGCGTGCCAGCGCATTACACACACACACACACACACACTCGGAGGAGGAAGGAAAGGAGCAGGTATCAACCAGGGAATGGTTGGGTGGGCTTCATACTCACCACGTCGTAATTGGTCGGGGCCCGGTTCCGGGAGGCGACGACGCCAACGCCGGTAATGGGGTCCATAGGCACGTTGGCCAAAGCATCGGTGAGCTCTCTAACCTCTGGCATGGTGGATGGATCCTGGAAGACGAGAAGAGTTGGGAGGTAGAGACAGGTCAGAATGCAAATTTACAGACTGAATGCATCACAACAAACTGCCTTAACCAATCGTACGGGCTGGGACCTTGTCTGCAATCGAAATATTCTTAAAAAAATATTTTAAGAATGGCGTTTAACCTCCCCTCCCCACCCTTGGTCCCAGCCAAAATAATACCCCCAAGCAGAATAACAACAACAACAAAAGGATTTCCATGCATCATTCCCTGATTTTTTTTAATTTTCCAGAACTAAAAGAAGAGAAGTATTTTATTTTATTTATTTAGGGAATTTATAGGGCTGCCCGCTCACT